TATATATATATATATATATGAACTTTGCTTCAAACACTGTTTCAAACACTCCTCCCGTACCTGGGGAGGAGACAGAAGAGTTGCATCATTTCATCAGTGAAGTCACTGGTACTGTGCAGTAGATACCTATGGCAAGTTTGCAAATGCTTTTCACCCTGTACTCTATAGCAGTCTATAGCACTCTACAGGACAGCAAGGTTCGGAAATGCCTACTTCAAACAAAATATTGAAAGCAAAAGGAAGCACAAATAATCATTTAACTTGTTAGTGTGGCTCTACAGGAAAATAAGTATTCATAATTTCATAACTTCTCCCCAATCATCTCTGCTTTTGGGTTCTTTCTAAACACAAGTCGCATTTTACTGTTTGAATTTCCTTCCTTCCTTCCTCTTCTGTTGCTTGATTAGCTGTTTCTCTATTTTTAGATACCAGCCAATAAGCCAACCCGCCGAAAACCACCATGTTCCCTCCCTCTCCATGCACACAAGACAGAGCCTGGCCAGAATGGTGACCTTGTAAGTATCAGTATTCTGAGGAAAGGGCTGTAGGGGGCCATTTGCTCTCTTTTTATAAGATGTAAGGACTGTAAAGACCACAAAGTCTGCTGTGGACTGTGATGGGCTGACCACGTAGCAGCTTTGCTGTCATGTATACTCGTGTCTTTGTAATTAAAGTACAAACTATGAAGACACCATCAGCCTCCTGTACTGTCTCATCCAGGAAAACCAAATCTAGGTAATTCTGCCCTTGCACTTCTCATGTCTCAGGGAAGGAAGAGTGTCCTACAAGATATACTGCGTGATTACAAACTGCAGCACAATACCGGAAGCTATGGAAATGTGTGCTCTCTCTCTATTTTTGACACAGACAGGCCATTGAAGAGATCAGGCAGGTGGGGCTCTCAGGCATCTTTTGCAGCGAGGCCAACCAGCATTTGGCCTAATCCCCAAATTTTGACAGATGGAGGAGGGTGAAGAAAGACGGGCACACAAAGGAAGGGCAGTGCTAACACAGGGGGGAAAGAACAACATCCCCCACTTACAGGGCACCTTGGAGTAGCCCTTTGGAGCCATGTAAAGTATCAAAGCTTTTTAGATCGAGGGCTAATCAGGTCATCCCAGCCAACACAGAGCAGCCCAGGCTGTGCATTCCACGTATGCATATAAACGTTTCTCTCCTCACCATGTTTCTGGCTGAGTCACAGAGTGCCTGGCTAAGTGTTTGGCAGTTTGCACAAGCCTTCACAGTTTTTCCTGTGGACTTTTCTCACTTTCATCTGACTCTTCCATGCAGGACACGCTAGCCAGATCTGTTTTGAAATTTTATTTAAAAGAGCTGCCATTTGTTAAGTGTTCATGGCAAAATATCATCGAGGTCATCCATGTAGATCCCCTTCCCCTTTTATCGTGAGTCCTGGTTTTGGAAGGTTGACTTCGATGCAGCCGCAGCTTGTTGGGGGGGGGGGGAAACTTATCTGATAAACTTGCTTAAAAATTCACACACATCTTTTCAAAGATTAATTTTTTTCTAGACTGACATGCTTCAGCCTCCATTTTCTGTAGGAAGCTTTTCAAACATTAAATCTCTTTACTGTGTTTTAATTCTTCAGGTTATAGATTGGGAATCTGTTCTCCAAAAAGACTAATTATAGGTTAATGTTTGCCCAAAGCTACAATGCAAATGAGTGAGAGACTGATGAACAGAATTGTCATATTCTTCTAAAAAATTACACAATTTCTTGTGTGATATCTTCCCCCTAATACAGTTTATAAACTGCTTTTATTTTTTTGTTTGGTAGGCGAAACATTGGCTGTTAAAGCCACACACAAGAATCAAAAGACAGTATAAATTGCAATTAAAATGCAATAACATGTTCCCTTGGGGAGGGGATTCTCAGCTAGTGTCTCCTGCCCTCCCTCTGATGGTCTCAGCAAAGTCAGCTGGAAGCTGCATGGAGGGAGGCCTGCGACTACAGCTGGATCCAAGCTCAACAGCAGACATAGAAAGGCACAGTATATAGTTCATATAAAGCGATTTTTGTAAACACTCTGATAAAGAAGAGTCTTGCAGCCCCAACAAAGTTTTTATTCTGTCATAAGCTGTTGTGGACTAAAAACCACATTAGATGCATGCAAGCTTGTGATAGAATTAAAAACTTGTTAGTGACAAGAGAAACTCCTGTTTATTTTTGATGCAGCAGACTGACACAGCTACCACCCCCTAGGAGTAAGTAACTACTCATAGGCTTTTGTCCTGGTATTTATTAGCCCAGTAATTTTCCAACAGTATGTAGACCAGTATTATTATCTGCATACTGCAGATACGGGGTGTAGAGATGGTGGCTTGCCTAAGGCTATGAGCTCATGGCTGATATTTGAACTTGAGTCTTCCCAGCTCACTTTTTAACCATCACTACTCCATGAAAGGAGACATGCAGACCTGGAGAGTTGTACAGTATGCTCCTTGGGTACTCTGCCCCTAGTGACATTGTCCTCTCTAGTTCTCATATTTTTCTAATTTCAGTCACAGTCAGAAGGTTGAATTCTAGAAGAGGTGGAGTAATCGGGGGAAAACACACGGACCCTCTCCTCCCTCAAGAATATTGTAAAGATGGATTTCCGGTGAACAGTGACTCGTAACGGTCGCACCCCATCAAGCTCTGATGGGGGCAAGTCGGATCGGGGCGGCAGGGAGGGGGATGGGCTGG